AAACTTACTTGTTTTTTGAATTGTTAGTCTCTATATGTTTTTGGCAATGGTAGATTGAAAGATGTGAAAATGTATGCAATATATCTGAATTTAATGCTTGTAGCAATTAAAGTTTCATTTAATGTGTAAGGATTGCTTGTGTAGTATCAATTGAAAATACCTCTTATTACTTAGTCACAAAATTCACATTTCATGTGATTGTTGACATGTGTTTAGATTTTATGTTTGTATGAAGATTGCCAAAATTATTTTTACTAAAAATTTCATCTGATTATGATCTTTTATTCTAGTCAATATCTTAGGTTAAGGATCAAAACTTTACAAGCACCTCTATTTAGATTATACCTTGAATCCAAATAAATTATTCAAATGTTTTATAAACGATACATTTGTATGATATGACATCTCTATGAAATTGTGATTTGAATACATGAGGTGGTATAACACAAGGTAACTCAAGTCTAGACTTTATTGCATCACAACAATATTTTTATGCAAAAAGTCAATGAAGAATCTAGTTGCAATTTTGATAAAATTCTCACAACAATATTATTGTTTGTGTGAAAGTTAAAAAAAATTGTAGAAAAAATGCAAGCAATGGCTACAAATCAATCTATATTATAATTGGCTTTTATGTCTAGAGCTTTATGGCTTTCGATTGAAAAGCAATGTAAAGTCATGTTTTACGGCTTTTGATTGAAAAGCAATATAAAGTCATGTTTTACGTTATATTTATTTCTTATTAAGTTTGTGAGCTTTTAATATTATGTAATAATATGCCTACTCAATGAAATTGCTGAAAAATATATGTCTAAAGATAAACTTAAAAGTCTTGGATGCATAATGGTACAAATAAGCTCAAGTGGTGAGTATAATTGTTACAAAGAGTATTATAGATATGATAACATGATAGTACATAATGAACAAAGGTAGGTAAAAAAAAATGACAACTTGCTAAATAAAAAAAGTCAATGTAACCTATCTATGAAGCTTAAAAAAATTGTTCAATTTTGAAATTGATGATTACTTAAATCATCTATGTAGAAAAAAAGGCACAATGATGAAAAAACAAGTAAAATTTTTTGAAAGTAGGAGGTGAAAGGTCTGTAGAAAGAAAGTTACATAGATGAATAATATAAAATATTTTGAAAACAGTATGTGACAAGACAACTAGCAATATGCGAAAAAGTGCAAACACAAATGTTAATGGAAGAAGTATGACAAACAAAAATGGCAGAAGTACACAAAGGCGTGACGGTAAAAAAATTAACAAGAAATGTATGAAACATGTGTTGACAAAAAATTGAGCTGATTCAGTCAAAGAGATAGATGTTAAGGAAGATTGACGTGAAAATATGACTGAAGTTTTTCAAAAGATGATGATAAAAAATTTATCCAAAAATAAAATAAAATTTCAAGTCTTTTTTATAAATGAAATTACATTTTGTAGCATTTTTTAGTATCATGAAAAGGTTTCAGAAAGAAAAAAAAATGTTGATTGAAGTAAAATTTACAACATGTGCTTTGTGATAAGCTCAAATTTTGACTAATGTTGAGCAAGTTTTGGCTGTAAAAATTTATACAATATTTTTTGCAAAATTCTAATTGACAATCAACTATTGAAAAATATTTTGAAAAATTAAAATACTGTCACAAAGTTTTTCCCAAATAAATAATGTTGACAGCATAATTTAAGATTTTATTAAAGCATTAAAAGGATTTTACTTCGAACAAAGGAAAAATCATTACATGTGATTTGAGCTATATTTAAGTTTAATTGAATTGAATGAGGTTTAAAAAAATTTTGATTATTTGAAGTAAAATAAAAAATTCAATTTATTGCTAATAGTAAAAAAATTAGTAAAATTGCAATTTTTATTACAAAAAATTGTTCACAATAAAATCTTTGATATTAAATTTGATTGTCAATGCATATTTATGTGAAATTAGTAACAATTTAAATGGCGTATCAGTATTTGTGTTGGAAATTGTACAGTGATTAAAATATTCATTAGTGATACATGTGAGTAGTTGAAAACAAAATTTGTGAAGTAATTTTAATAAATCAAAATCCATAATGTGAAGAAAAAATTGGCAAAAACAATTAATAAAAAGAATTTACTAGATTACTTTATTGTTTAAAGTCCAATCATTTTGAAATAGTTTTACATATATGCAACAACGTGATGATTATAACTTTTGTCATCAAAAAGGTTATTTTTATACAATGTATCATAAATTTACAAGTCAATCATTTCACTACACCAACAACAAATGACCTTCTATATTGCTTTTCATAAGTTTATAACGAGTCATGTTTGTAAAGAGTATCTTGAAAAAAGTTGTATACATCTCTAAAGATGCAAATACCTTTCAACAATAAAAAGTCTGTTAGTTCAATTTGATTGATCCAATCCAATATCATAAAGTTTTTGCTTAGCAAAAATTTAAAGTATTATGAACTAAGGTTAGTGCTGAAGTTTTATAAATTGTGATCAAATCATATTGAAATTTTTTGACCAACTTAGCTAAGTCAAAGTATTACAAGATGAAGTGAACAATGAAAATGACTTACACATGCTTTCAAGCATCACAAAGTGATTTGATTGTAATCACAATAATCTTTTTGAAAATTTAATGTTGAAATAGCAAAATTGATTGGTGATATCCTTGCAATAGATTAACATTGATATTGACGTGATTCTTGATTTAGGAAGCATTCACAAGAATATCATCCAATTTCAAAATGCACAACAAAACACGCAAAATATGCCTTACAGATAATGTGTTTTGCTTTTTGCTGGTACAAGAAAACATTAGATTTCCTAGAAAAATCTGATATAATGCTCAAAGAGCGAGCTAGGTCTCACCATACTAGATACATGAAAACAAAAATATTAAACTCGGATAAATCCGATTACTAGCCCACTAAAGTTATTCCTAACATCCTAACATGTTGATCACCAATTGGGAAACATGAACAAAGACTTCAAAAAGCTATAAACGTGAATAACAAAATGTTAGATTGCAACAAAGCTTGGATTGTTTTCAAGCATTAAGGAAAGGTATTTATGAACTTTTGAAGTTTTTTGGATTCTTAGCCTCTCCATTTCCAATTACCACAATTATGAAAGTCTATATCTCTGAATAAATATGGGAATTCAAACTTTTGGATAGATATGAATATTACATCCTCTTCTCCGGAATGAATATACCATTGTCATCAAGTTCTTCATTTGTTAAGAGATCACTGAAGTTTCCATATGTTTTCAAATTAAATTCATCTAATCTAAACATCAAAATACATTTTTTCTTTTAGTGCAGAAAAGTAGTGTCCTTATAAACTGCAACTTTGTACCTTATATCACCTTATAAACTGCAACTTCATAACGAAAGAACTTTTTTACCTTCATATACAACACATGTCACAAATATGACGCTCTAATACCGTACAAACAAAAATTTACAATGAAAGCCCATACTATTCAAAAGATGCTTGCACGATGCAAGCTTCCAATGTGGAAATATTTGACAAAGTGTATCACTGTGGACAAGATGACAAATATGTGAATCTCAGCTTATGGATATTATAAGCTACATGAATCACATCAATTCGTTGATAAGGAGAGGGATATTCAGCTTTGTTTGTCCAGCATACCACAACTTCAGATCCTTGATGTTCCGACTTGTAAAACGTAGGGGTTTACTGAACATATCAGCGTAGGTTTGTAGTTGATTCTTGCGGGTGTCTAGTCAAGTCCTCTGTACCATCAATGACTCTAGATAGTACGTCTTATCATCATTGAGGACGCTTAAGGATGCAGACTTAACGACATACTGCAGAGCATCACGGTGTTAGTCAAGTAGTCATTGCGACCAGCATATGTCGAGGACGACCTGATGAACACAAAGTACTGTACGTGCCTGTTCCGAGGCAATAAGTGCAGTCAAACTGCACTCAATCTTGCTGATCAGTAACTGTTGTAGATGTTGTTTTGCATCTAACTCTGGAAAGAATATCGCTGGCAGTGATAGCTTCATTAGTCGAAGAGAGTTGTGGTTTGGCAATTCCTCTTATACTTCTCAGTAAATTAACCCTTCAAGTTACAACTGCCATGTCATGGATCCGCTTTCGAACCTTAGCGACAAAGATTGAGAGGCATGCCAAATCTGGCGTCGGTGGTCACACCCTAAGGTAGTATCTCAGGTTTAAGTCTCGACCAAGTCGTCACAGTGAGTACTTAAATAATTATCAAATACATTAAATGGTCATTGCTTACACAGATTATTCGACTCAATCACTAACTTCCGTTGATAGGCGAAAGGTTGTGTTCGGCGTTCCAATGAAATCCTGCAGAGGCTGCCAAGTCTTGATCTTTTCGATGTAAACGACGTACAGTGATAATCTTGACGGATGGATCTGAAGTAAAGGATGATCATGGACTCTACGTCTATGCACCAAGAAAGAAAACTCTTGTTTACTCTGTTTGTTACCCAGCACTGTCTCCATGGAGAACATGCTGTTTTCTTACAGTGGACAATCGTGTAGAGATAGTCCGCCATAAGAAACAGTACTGTCTTGAGTTGAAACATGTCGCCAGCGAAAATGGTAGAACCATACGCCCAGTTCAGCGATATTTCTTTGAGGATTTAAAATATATCATATAAGGGTTGTGTCGCACAGCGTTCTAAGATGACCTAATTTCCTGACTATACTTCACTGATCTAGACTTAAATTCGAGTCTTTGTTGGAGACAATGAAGATAGAATCCAGCTGATCACGGAACCAAATCGTGTTTTCGAGGTGCAGCGGCCACTAATGTGTAACATTTCCACGTTCGAGAATGCTATATCAACATCAAGCTTGCGTGGATTATACGAACAAACATAAAATGTTCCTCGACCATCAAACTGAAAGAACCCGCAACGACATGCAACAAAGCAGTATCTAGACTCTTACATTATAGACATCCTGGCCTTCTCTTTTCTTGTAAAGTATCAGCATGTTAAGATTACAATTGTTTCCAACTGGAAAGTTGCAACCGCTGAGTATATCGACTTAATCCAAGATACGATTTAGAATCCCGTGACTCATGTCAACTGAACGTCATGCCAAGTAATGTCGATACCCCCGATGAGGTCAAATTCAAGCGTTCGTCATTGATGCAATCATCCTCCAACTAAAAGGAAATATCCTTTGCAGAATTTGACCTCCTCTGCAGCATCTAGCCTGGATCTATCTCTTGCTCAATCCGTACATCCCTGTCCTACTCTGATAGTCTCTCTGTCGAAAGAAATCTGAGATGCGGATTTGAGATGAAATGATACGGATTTACCACATCGCCCGACATTCTCCTTTTGTGTAGAATTGAAACCGGATGAACTCAAAAGAATTTCCTCCTGTGATTTGGATTGCAAGAATAATAAATCATTCCTTAAAGTTCTGTAAATTTGGTGTCATCTTCCGTAAGATTCTCTCTGATATACCAGCTAAGTTTCAGCCAACTAGCATCCAAGATAAAAACAATGGTAAGTTCGACTCAGCCGAACTGCGTAAAGAAGGCACGAGGACATCTAGGACTCTTGGCTCATGTACCGCTTGATGTTCTAGTCCCATGATATATATCCAAATTTCTAAATTGATCTTGAGGCTATCGATCCGGTATCATTACGACTTGCTTTAAACGACTTACTTGTGGTATACATGATTATTATTTGGTGCTCTCAGACAGCTCGTTCGAGTTACAATCTAAAAAAAAAAGCTATTGCAGATGCATAATAATTTTAGGCACAAGGGCGTCGAGAAGGGTTAATTGCTCTTAAAAAACGAGACAATTTTAGAGTAGACGTCTATGTTAGCCCTCTGAGCGAGGACAAAGTCGCCATGACCATACTCCGGAAGATTTATAACTTCTCGAACACCAGAGGTCGGCAGCTCTTGGAGAAGTCTTTTTGTGTCACTTGGGTCTGCCAGCTGGTCTATTCCCCCTGTAAAGAACAACTGTGGAAAGCTTTCAGACGGGAACTTGGCCAATTGATAAAGTGGAGGTTCTTCCTGTCCATACCTCTCCAAGTTCTCTTTCGGACCTCTGTCGTACTTCCCGAACTTTTCTGATCTTTTAACTGCAAAATGCACAGAACGGTTCTATGAGAACTAAACTATCTCGGATAACAGTCCGAAAAATTGAAAAGTAAATTGTAATGTTACACTTCTCGTTTCTGTTTGTTATAAATTGAAAGTCAAAAGGTTTGAGACTTCTGACATTAGTGACAGAACTTAAAGACATAGGGTCCAGCGAACCAGCTGACAGCAGATTCTGAAAAGATGAGCACTTCTCGCCCAAGGTCGAAGTACATAGAGTTGCCAAGGAAATTGCAATTCAGAGGTTCGCTTATCATAATCAATGAGAAGATTCGAGCGAAGAACTTTTTCTGTGGGTACTACATATACTTCACTCTGCCACTGGCGGCAAATTAATCGTTAAAACTTACTCTGTCCAAAGTGGTTGAGGTTGTAAGACGAGGTTGGCTGTGGAAAGTACTTTAAGTAAGTAGGTCTGCGAGTGGAATTTAGGTAGCTGTTGGTACCTTCGAACAGACAAGAACACGGTTAAGTGATACAGATTTCTGACACTGAGTAAAATTATATATTGAGTTCTTGGAGAAGCAATACTAGGAGTGCTTGAAACAAATTAAATTCAGCGAATAAAGCGAATAAAGATCAAAAGATCAAGCGAAGATGCTTTCTTACCTATATATCCTCTCAGGAGGTCTGAACAGGCATCTGCGTTGAGTTTGCAGACGCTACTAATCAATCTATCCAACAACAACAACGAAAAGTTCGACAGAAGTCAATCAGCAGCATCATGCTGTGGTTTCTCTAGACTACGAAAAAGAGAGCCAGACCTGAAGGTCAAGACCCAACGCAATGGTCACTCAGCTGGAGCCAACAGTGTTCCATTGTGAACATTCAATTTCTCTCTTTGACTGATATATAAAATGTAATGCGAAACGGCATGGAAACTGCTCCAGGAGCAATTTCCACAGTGCTACCAAGGATATGGTGGCACCTATAGCTGGCTCAAGTATAATCTAAACAAATGAATTCCTAGTTTCCTCGACGAGATAGCTTGTTAGGTGCATTTTATGAGCTGGAACTCAAACTCCGTAAACTGGTACAAAAACGACACGGTATCGATGGTTGTACTATGATGGAACGTACATTCTCGAATCCGCCGGTCCGATGCCTACGAGAGGAAGAATCTGCTTGACAAATGCTCAAACGATTCCAAATAGAATTTTCATCAAGTTAATCGGAAGAAACTAAATGACGGGGCAGAAGGAGGCGTTCATCGCTCATGTAATTAGAATATAGCGAATGAAACAGTGAACTCGCAACCGGGGGAAAAAAGAAATGTGAAGCAAATCCGACTTTTAAGTCGCCGGAAAGAAATTGCCGGATTCACCTGGTCGGCGTAGGTATTGAAGAGCAGACCCACGAGTGCAGCTGAGAGATGGGTCACGTAGGCGACAGGAGCCAGAAAGACCACCCCTCTCAGTTTATCCTTCATCTGCTCTGCTGCAGTTCCTCCTCCAGTCAACCCTGCCATTAAGGTCAAGGTTCCCTTCACGCACGCAGTCCACAAGTTAACATTAATACATAAGAAATATGTTGAAACCACCTGCTGGGTTATCTACGAGCTGGGATTTCACATGTAATTGCTCTGAATACGGAATATCCGAATGACTGCATGCAATAGATTTTAGTGAATATGTGACAACACTTGACCCGACTCCAAAATCCAAACGCCCAAGCTTCCAGGAAGCGCACGGGCAACTCTAACAACTTTTACTGTGACGGATTTGACCAGTCGAAGCACGGTCAATCGCACGGGGGATTTGACGGGGCATCTTTGGACGTGACTCCAGACCTGAGAATGACCGATGTAGAAGATTTTGGAGCCACCTCTTTTGTTGTAAACGTATTCCACGAAGGCAGGTACGTCGAACGCAGCTAACTCATCCAGTGTCCAGTCCCAGTAGGCCTACAGCATTCCATGCTTCGTTAAGGTTACGTCCTCAACTTCCGGCATCCAATTCATAAGTGCAGCTACTGTCGCTGAGAACTGTGATGATCGGATGGTATGGAGTTTGAACAAAGCCAAAGCGTAAAGTTCTATCTTCGCAACACTTGCATAGAATCGAAAGGTGGCTTACCTCTCTAAGGTCTAAGCTTCAGCGCAGAAAGTGAGATCTGTGTCCACTTCTAAAGTCCGGGGCTTCGAAATTTAAAATTGAATGAGAAGTGTGCACACGAAAAAAAACCATCTGCAGTCATGATTGTGTCGGCATGGCAGTTTCAGAGTAAAGCTAGTCCGTGTCTGTAAACAATCTGAGGGAAGGAATAAAGTCAGGCTGAACCTTCTCTTCGGGTTTATACTTTGAGCTTCCATGGCTCCAGCGGGTGTTTCGATTGCTCCCAATGTAGACGTCGAATCCCGCATCCGCTAAAATGAGTGCTAAGTCCTCCTTCGGATCGTTCACCACGTAATTGTCTCCACCCTGTGCAATGATAACAAATGTCTGAATCAGCTCACAGCTCAATGGCTCGGAGCATTATCAATGTTTTGAAATTCAGTAGAACACATTTTAATATATTTATGCTGTAAGACATAATCACGCATTCTGGTCTGCTCATGATTTCTCAGATCCAGGGATTCCAATTTAAAGCTGCCAAATCTCACCGCAGTCAGACCGTGAACCAGCAGAACTGCAGGGCCTGGAATGTCGCTCGGGCCTGCCACACCGAAGGGAATATGCTGCAAACCCAACAGAAATCCATCTGCAGTTTCAACCTGCTCCACATATAAACAATTGGAAGGAAATGGACCTCAGATTCCCAGGCAACAGCTCATGCAGGCGCCGAAAAGACGTTTCAATTGTCTCGAGAATACACTCTTTTACGAACTAAAACTCGTAAAATATGCAGGTTGCGTATAGTTTCCTGGATTTGTACCGTGATTTCATCGCAGGGGTAACCCTTGGGCCAGATGAGTTCGGCGCACAAGCTGTTTGACTGAGACTTTCCTACAGCCAGAGGTATCTGCAGCGCTTTTGCCAGAAACGATACGATGAAAAATAATCTCGTACGATTCAGTATAGTTCCCATGGCTGCTGAAGATACTGAAACTGGAGATTCTGATACACAGTCTCTTTATATGCACGTTCGCTTCGACATGTCTTGATGGAAGATGTCAAGCCGAACTCATGGAAATCGGACAGCTCTTCGGATTTTGACGAACATATGATGCCACGTTGACGAACTGTGTAGTAAAAAATTTTGTCGAGATCGAAAAGCAGCGACATGCGCAGCTTTTGATGACGAGGGAACTTTCGATTGAATCGGATCATATCACTTTTCACGAAGTTCAGTTTGTCTTGTGGACAATGGACGGCATGAAACTGTCTGTATCCGTTGTAGAAAGATCTGGGTGTACATCATATGAAGTTATCTTCCTTAATCGATGTACAACCTCACACTGCAATTGTCTTTATTGACAGCAGAGAGGACGCTAGAAGCTATTAATGCTGAAATTTATATGTCCTCTTATCAGCACAGAACCACACCGCCCTCCCAGAGCAGCGTTAACTGAAAATGATAAAGCTTCGCATCTCCCGCGGCTCAGGGTGTCGGTGGTGACCATGGTGGGTACGACTAGTGGATTAAAACTGCGTTTTCGAAACACAGTTTTAAACAGGCTACTACGGTTAGAATCGTGGTCCAAATCTCTCACGACACGAATTGTTTGGGAATATGACGGTCGGTCAGGTTGGAAATTGTATTGTACTCGAGATCAAAGACTCAATTCAGACATTTTGTGGAGCCACGTCATTATTCACGAAATGAGTCTCACTTAAACTTTACTTATGCTCCCCACTAAAACAGAAGCTCGAAATCATCAGACCGCCTTAAATTCACTCTAGTTTTACAAAATCACCAAGAAATTCATTCCACCAACGAGTATAAAAAACTCGTTGATAAAACTCCTTTTTTTCGTTCATCATAAACTCTACATCAAATCTTTCCCAATTGAATCTTCGTTATGCAGCTTTAACGTTAAAATAAATTTCATTCTTCTCGTCACAAAGTCGTCGCGTTTGATTCTTTAAATAAATTTTATCTAACAAAAAATTACACTCAATGGCACCCTGTTCGTATCCAAAGTCATATCATGTGTAGTGTATATGACTGACTTTGATAAGTATATGTAGTGGAAGTCCAACGAAAATCTTACTTTGGGGTCGTGAAATATAGTATGTCCGAGTCCAAGCCCGTCTCAATCCACATATTGTCTTGAGTCTCATGCAGGAGACGTGTATATTAATGTACAACTTGATGGCCTTCTTCTTAGCTGTGGATTCATTAGATAGTAAACAAAAAAGTTTGTTGCATCACTCTAAACATGAATAAGTTTTTACAAAATTTTTCTAAACTTGTAAAGTTTCCTATGTTTTTTATTCGATGAAGCCTATTAACATCAAACTAACTGCACACAGAAATTTTTTTGAACTATTATTTTACCTCGTTGGATCCAAGAATATGGGTACAATGAGATCTCATTACTATCTTAAAGATTCAAAGGCCTCAAGTGTTGATCAAGTAATTTTTACTTAGAATTATAGATGAAGTCATCGTTAAAACTATATGTGAGGGTTGGAGTTCTGGTCAAATTTATATCTAGCGGATAAGGAAATACGGGTATAGATGGAAGAGATAGGCAGATAGTAATTTTATCGTGATTTTCCACCTTATGTCAATTCATTGTTTTGTGCTGTTTAGTTTCATTTTCTAAGATTTGGTCACTTTAGGCCTGGGGCTCCATCGCACCTTCAATGCAAGATTCTCATCCTGCTGCAGTTCCAACCAGCCCCCCATCTAACCTGTATGTCATGATTGAACCTTTATGCAATCGATCATGCATTTCTGCGTTGTCCACTGAGTGTACGCGTATGAATTCAAAAAGACGAACTTTTATATTGCATTGTTTTTAGACTAGGGAGTTCAGGAAATTCTATTTCTGAAGCCAAAATCCTACTCCTTCCATAATTTACGTCATGCAAGTGTATGAGAGGAAGCCTTAGCTTGACTCGATGACATCCAGACTGGTACGCGGGAAGGCAAGTCTCAGGTTTGCCATCTAGTAGGAGGCTAAGATTAAACTTCTAGGATTGTAGAGTTCGAGTCATGACAGCTGACTCTTCTTACATAAGAAGTTTAAACTGCTCTCGGAACCAGTTAAACGCCTGTCGGGGAGAACAAAGGTCTAGTTTCATACTGGAAAAATCAAACTTCATAAGGGAAGTTGAAAGGCCAGTGTGTATTAAGAGATGCGCTGTGTTCTTGTATCAGAGATCCACTTATTGCTTCCTGTAATTGCGCTCGAACTTCGAAGATATTGGACACTTCTTCTGTGAATGATGGAAGTGATAGAAACACACAAGATGCCTAGCCAGACGCTAATCTACAGATTCATCCGTGCTTCAGATATGAATGACGAGCTTGTTTGGTTCCTTCCATCCCTCAATTGCTTCTCGAGATTTAGACATAATGTCCCTTGCCGAGGTGTGATGAAAACACTGTTTTTGACGAGCTGACTGCCCCTTCTCGAACTTCGGCTGTAAGCAAGTAAAGATTGAGTTGCCCTCCTGCAAAATCTCGACCCTGGGAAGGAGCGATGCTTCCAACTCATGGTCTAACTCTCTTCACGAGCTTCTCTCTATGCTGGAACAAATTATGTCTGAGGCGAGAAGCGTAAACGTCTTTCCATCCTCGACAGAGCTGGTGAAAAGCATGAATTTTACGCCGACTGTGTAGTACACAAGAATCAATGATAGGTTTCTCTAATGCATCATTGGAGAAAACGATCATTGATCCTAGAAACGCAGCCCCGTACGTTGCATGGATGCTGAAGCTTTACGTCCCGTTCCAAACTTTGGAATCAGTCGGATCGTCAGCCATAGCCCCAACTTTCGTAACTTTATAGAAGTCACTTTAGCACCGCTACCTACCACGATGCAAATTTGCGATCAGATCCTGAAAGATCAAGATAACATCCATCCATCCGTCTGAGATCTATCGCAACTGTTGTATGGACTTGGGATTTTCCGACAAGGAATATCATCATGGCAATCAACATTCAGGATTCCAGGCCTAAATTCATTTGTACACAGTTTGACTCGACTTAGCTGGGGCACGAGGTCACAAAGTAGCTTCAATCAACTGATTTGAATACGATTCCTATTGCTTTGCGTTATTTCTACACAGCCCACCCCACGCGCAGAAGAACATACCAATACAACAATTTACGGTACAGTTTAGTTTCTTGTTTCCACTCGTACAGGGTCCTCTGAAATGTCGAGCAAGTTCAGTTCACGTGTGGTGTGACTCTCCTGATTAGGCAAGTAAAAACGATAACAAGCAAAATCTAGGGGTCCATTACGAAGTTTCGCCGTTCCTCATCGGCGAAATTAAACCTATTATGTCCATCCAGACATTTGATCGACCCCACGTTCAGCAAAGCTCAAAGCCAGACGTGTCAGTTAGATGCTCAGCATCTTCCGGCCCTGGTTACAGTCGTCTCGAAGTCTCCTACTGTTCGTGTACAATTACCGGGTTCCGTAGGTCAGCCGTTTCAGGTTCAGCAACCATCAACTATCAGCCGATTCCAGCTGCTTCAACTTCCTCAGGCTTCTATCTTTCAGAAACGTATGACGACATTCAGCTCTACTTTTTTAAGAAGAAGATGCGGTGAGTTTCAGCTCAGGCCTGAATCGGTTAAGAACGGATCTACAATCAAGCGTTCACAAATCCCATAATAAAGATCTGAACTACGACTGTATGGGCGTTGTATTAAGTCTCTGGATCTCTTCGTGACTGGTAGACATACTGCATGAATACGTCCAAGCAAATCAGATTTGAAATTGTGAAGTAGTTAAATTCGTCACCAACTAGTCCGATGTTTCACAGAGGAGTGTTATGATCGCTCAGTGAAAGAAAATCTCTCTATATCGGTCAGAGGATTTTCTAGACTCTTTTCGCAATGACGCTTCTCTGATACCTGAGTATCATTTGAGAGATTTGAGGTACGTCAGAGTACTGCATAGCGTACATGGACTTTAAATCGTGAGGAAGGGACGTAAGGTCCTATGATCCAATGATAGTGAGATTATGGTCTAGATGTAAAATTAACCTATCTAATCTACTGAGGCATATGCTTGAATCACAACAGCTGGGGTCGGCGTTTGTGGTACATGATTGTATCACAAGCAATGAGTGAAGCCGCTCATGTCAGAACGTTTCTGCGCTCGGTAAGGTGTTACTACCAGGTGTAGTGACAGCACACGTCGAGACCCTGTGTGCCAGGAAATAATCGTGATTCAGTATTTCTGCCATCATTCGAGTCCTATGAGAGCCGCACTCCGTACGTTCCGTCTACGTTGGACGATTGCACAGACGTATCATCCTTTACATACGGCCCGTCGATGGATATTTTGCATAATGAGATCCCTCGAGGAGTAGACTCAGACACAGTACCTGAGTCTCATCCTGTCTCATTAAACTGATTGAATCAACAATATGGCTCCGTACAAGAGAGAAAAGAAATAATGAACCTAAAGCTTGTGTCGTTAGAGACACATGCCAGACCCAGGTTAGCTCTGCGGCCGATGACATCGATTCTTTTAACTGGTCACGCATTCCACGAGGAGATTCTCTTGTCCTTTCCAAGAGTTTCCCTCGCTTGACTTGTGAAGGTCAAGCAAAGAAAGCGGAGTCGACATTATATCAACGACTTATAACTTCTCTAACCCTATCCGTTTGGTTTCACGTCTTACAAGACTTGATGGGTCACCTTTACATCTTCATTCATCAAGTCGTGTAATGTGGTGTTCTCTCGTGTAAAAGATAATTGTTCAGCTCACACGCGGGAAAATTGGCAATAAACCATGAACAGAACATTTCAGAATTCAGAGGAGAAAGAGAGAAAGAAAAGAACCCAACATGCTGTAAAAAACTGAAGTGTTTGGAGTGAGAGGTTCAATTCTCACATGATTCGGGGCAATTTTTGTGATGTGAATATAATTGAATTTGTTGCTCACGATGTATCCAAAGTCCCTCTCGTTTTGTGAGAGCATCTCTCTTGTCTCAATCTTTTCCAGTGAGCATGTGAATCCAAATTGGAAATTTTATGTTTGGTAAGTGAACACTCTTACGTAGAATCATGCCGGTCTGTAGGTTTGTTCCTATGCAACCAAAGTCGATAGGAAATCCTATTGGGGAATGCTAGTATTATGCTAGTCGGATAGCCCCTTGATCGAATTGTTACCGTAGTAATGAGAGGTGGACAACTGACACTCTTCCTCAAGTGTTTGACATATGATGCAGAAGTGAATTAGTGAACTCACT